TAGTTTCAGCCTGTCTTCTTTGCAGAACCTCAAACTTCATCAGGTTAATGGCGAGCGTCAGTGCACGGCCATTTTCAGGTCTCTCTCCAGAGATGTTCAGTCTGGCGTCTTAGGGTCACTGTCTTGGTCCCGGTCCGAGGTCCAGAGCTTATTATCAAGGACGTCTCTGCACACCGGTGCACTGATCTTTGCCTCTCCCCTGACCAGTCGAGTCTCACAGAAAGTGTCCCCACAGCGTGACAGTGCTACTGCCATGCTTCACTGCAGGGGGATTGGCCAGGTGAGCAACACCTGGTTTCCCTCAGACGTGACTCATTCAGCTCAAAGAGTTCAGTCTGTGTTTCATCAGACCAAAGAATTTTGTTTCTCGTGGTCTGAGAGTCCTTCAGGTGACTTTTAGCAAACTGCAGATTTACAGGGGAGTGGTTTCCATCTGGCCACTCTACCACAGAGACCCAGCTGGTTAATGCTTTGAGCCATTCATGCTCCCCCTTGGCCACTTATCCACCTTAGGATCAGGGGGAGAATGGAGCCTACCACTGCTGAGCATGTTTGGAACGCCGGAGGAATCGCAGAGTAAACCCACACGGTGAAAACAGACCGACCAAAGAAAGGCCCTCGCCATCCTCCTGGACATGCTCATCTCCTTGCTATATGGACAGTACTTCCTTTCCGTACCTGCACATTCCACAGCCACAGCTCGGAGCAGTCGTCAGGGCCGCAGGCTATCAGATAAGCATCATCAGGGCTCCATGCCAGGTAGGAAACTCCATAAGCATGACCTTCAAGAGTCTTCATCAACTTCAGCTGCTGGATGTCCTGTGACCCAACACACAAACATCCATGTTCCAGTTACTACAGCCATTGTAATAACTCACTGACTGATTGTTGCTATTCTGAAGTGTAACTCTTGATAAGCAAATGACTGGTTACCATGTCGACTTGCCACACAATGACTGTGGTGTCTTTGGAGCCAGTTGCCAGTTTTGTGCCATCGTTGGAGAACTTGCAGAACCAGACTTCATTGCAGTGTTCTGTGAGAATCTGCTGTGTGTAGCAGGGGAACTGTTTCCTTTACACACACACACACACACACGCACATCGGAAATAAACGGAACAGAATATAGTGTACTGTCTCACTTATACTATTTATCAAAGCAAGGGAATGAAGCATACTGCCAGGCTGTTAATTACTTATTTGTATTAATCATACAAGAGATCAGCCAGGTACAATTGAAGGAAATATCAATTCATTCTTCATATATATAATATCGTAGTAAAACATGACTTTGGTTTTCTTTTTTTCTGGCGAGTCACCTCCCCTCCGTTTGTTCTGTTGAGAGTAGTAGATTCCCCTTGGAACCATCCTGCTCATCTCCTCTTGCTATACTGGTACCAGATGTGCTTTACTCCTTCCTTTTCCGGTACCCTATCCGATGCTACATTCCGACTAGGCCACTAGACTTTCCCTTGGAGCATGTCAGTCAGTTTGGTTTTTTCTTCTTCTGGCAGTGCAGGTGTTTTTTGTCATATTCAGAGTATATAGCATATCAACACATAACCCTATCATGTCTTCCACGGTCTAATTCTGTTATCTCAGTGTATGTTGGCGTGCGTCCAATGGCCCATATAGTGAATAGTGGTAAAAGATGGTTTATAGGAGCCGGACAACGCAAGTATGCCGTAATTTCTAGTACAACTATTGTGTCCACAAATCATACATGTTCTCAATTTATCCTAAAATTTAAAGCTCTATGATATATATAGATCCTATTCAAAGATATGTCAAACTGAATTCACACGCATACTATGTATCAATACTCGCAGTATCAACCACTTTCAGCTGTATTCTCGTATGGAATGTTAAGTATGCTTTATCCCAATTCTCGTTACATCTAAGTATGATTAGTTAGACCGACATGACTCCACCAGAACTCAGAAAAACAGCTACACTACCGAATTTTAGATCTAACCTTGAAGGAAATGTCTTAAACCCAAACATTAAACAATTATGCAGCCATCTATGCTGTTTTAAATAAGAAAAGACCATTATACCCAATTACAGTGTCTGCATCTTTCAAGGCTATCAGATAAGCATCATCAGGGCTCCATGCCAGGTAGGAAACTCCATAAGCATGACCTTCAAGCTTCATCAACTTCAGCTGCTGGATGTCCTGTGACCCAACACACAAACATCCATGTTCCAGTTACTACAGCCATTGTAATAACTCACTGACTGATTGTTGCTATTCTGAAGTGTAACTCTTGATAAGCAAATGACTGGTTACCATGTCGACTTGCCACACAATGACTGTGGTGTCTTTGGAGCCAGTTGCCAGTTTTGTGCCATCGTTGGAGAACTTGCAGAACCAGACTTCATTGCAGTGTTCTGTGAGAATCTGCTGTGTGTAGCAGGGGAACTGTTTCCTTTACACACACACACACACACACGCACACTCACACACACACACACACACACACACACACACACACACACACACACACACACACACACGCACACACACGCACACACACACACGAACAACACAAAAAACACATACATACATACATACATACATACATACACCCACACACACACACACACACACACCCATACACCCACCCACCCATCCACCCACCCACACACACACCCATACACACACCCATCCATCCATCCATCCTACTATTAAAAAAGTACGACACACACACACACACACACACACACACACACACACACACCACACACACACAGACAGACACACACACACAGACACACACAACAGACCGACACACACACAACCACACACACACAGACACACACACACACACACACACACACACACACACAGACAAAGAAACAGAAACAAAAAAACAGGTTTGCCCAACATGCCTCAGACTTGTGCATAAAGGAAACATACAGATGACATATTCTTATCGTCTAGATTACCGACTGTTCACTAAACTAAATGTTTCCTCCTGCAGGGCAGCAGAAAGAAGCACAATCAGTTGATGTGGAGCTCAGTATTTAACAGCATGTGTGTTTACTGACCGGCTGCAGGAGTGGTCCAGCAGCAGAGACACAGAGTCCAGACCACTGTCCAGTTTGGTGTTGTGGTAGAGGCAGCGCTCCCTCTGGAGCTCCACAGCCTGCTTCAAGAGAGTCTGCAGACGACGGGGAGGCAGCATCACTGACGGAGGCAGGTAAGCTGTACACACACACACACACACTTAATTTAGAGCATAGATCATCTTCAATGCCCTGTACCAACACAGAGCAGAGCAGCTATCTGAACGCTACCCAACAGAGGTCGATTATCTTGTTAATAATTTCACCTCCTCACTACGTACGACTCTGGATACTGTAGCTCCAGTGAAAACTAAGGTCTCTAATCAGAAGTATTTGACTCCGTGGTATAATTCTCAAACACGTACCCTAAAGCAGATGACTCGTAATCTGGAGAGGAAATGGCGTGTCACAAATCTAGAGGATCATCATTTAGCCTGGAGAAATAGTTTGCTGCTTTATAAGAAAGCCCTCCGCAAAGCCAGAACATCTTACTATTCATCACTGATTGAAGAAAATAAGAACAACCCCAGGTTTCTCTTCAGCTCTGTAGCCAGGCTGACAAACAGTCAGAGCTCTGTTGAGCCAACCATCCCTTTAACGTTAACTAGTAATGACTTCATGAACTTCTTCACAAATAAATTTTTATCATTAGAGAAAAAATTACCAATAATCATCCCACAGATGTAATATTATCTACAGCTACTCTTAGTACCATTGATGTTAAGTTAGACTCTTTTTCTCTAATTGATCTTTCTGAGTTAACTTCAATAATTACTTCCTCCAAACCATCAACGTGTCTTTTAGACCCCATTCCTACAAAACTGCTCAAAGAAGTCCTGCCATTAATTAATTTCGATCTTAAATATGATCAACCTATCTCTAATGATCGGCTATGTACCACAGGCCTTCAAGCTGGCTGTAGTTAAACCTTTACTCAAAAAGCCATCTCTAGACCCAGCAGTCTTAGCTAATTATAGGCCAATCTCCAACCTTCCTTTCATATCAAAAATCCTTGAAAGAGTAGTTGTCAAACAGCTAACAGATCATCTGCAGAGGAATGGTTTATTTGAAGAGTTTCAGTCAGGTTTCAGAGCTCAG